GAGAAAATACTGGTGAGAATAGTAGTGCCATTTTTCCTAGAGAAGGTAAGAATAAAGATTATTTGGTAGTGTGACATTTGTGCTGTGGAAGTGGTACAGCCAGAGGAGATTTAATGTTAACTACCATCAACAGAAATTTGTAAAAATCTCTCTGCATCATGCAAAGGATATAACTCACTGGCCATTAAGCTTTGCTGTCTGTTGCAGAGTTTTGAAGACACTGGCAGTGACTAGTGTAGTTCTTGTAGTGGTGGAGTGAAAGGTCAGCAGAGGCTTAAATGAGCTTGTCTTGCATCCAGCTGGGCCAGCAGGAGGTTATTAGGAAGATCTGGAGGCTCACTTTAGGTTTGACAGAGTCTCTCCTCATGATACAAGGAGTCCGTTTTGCTCATTGCTCTTCTCTCAGTGTATTTAAAAAAAAAAAAAAAAAAAAAAACACCGCAGGGACAGGAATGACACCAAAGTTTATCTTTCTCCAAAACTTTTGCTTGAGGAGGGCATGACTAGCAATTACTTAGGAGGGGATTTATTTTGTTTGTTTGCTTTTGATAGAAAGCAATGAAGATAAGTACAAAAGGCCTATTGATCTGCTAGCTCTATTGTGAAATCAAATAGAGTAGCAGGAGGAAAAAAAATCTCTTTCTTAACATTTAGAAGTCAGACAACCTGCACAACTTCACTTTCTAAAAGGACAGGAAAATGCAGAGTTGTAGTTTCACTGGACAAAAACAAAAGAGAACAACAAAAAGGAAATGAAACATGATCTCTTAAAAAACGTTCTTCTGTTGTTCTTGGAGAGGATTAACACATTATATTTGACAGCTAATTATATTAGGCAAATACACTAATACAGTCGTTATCTTGAATTGGTGCTAAGTGGCTCATTTCTTGGAGGTACTGCCTGGTGAATCATGTGTATTTATTGAAAAGCTTTTTCTAGAAAAGTTCTCTATAAGTTTCCAAACATAGAGAATGATGAAAAAGATGAATGTTGCTATGCTGAGAAGGTGATAACAGGAGGCAGGTAACATGTTTTCACATCTTCACCTCTGTTGTTAATGTATGCAGTGGCTCAGCAGAGGTAGCTCATGTTAATTTATTCCTGCACACCTGTACAGAGATGGAAGTCAGGTAATAAGACTAGCAAAAACTCCTCTCTCTGTCTCTGTCTCTGAGCTATACAGAAATCTATATATGAACAAATTTAGTTCTGGAGACATCAGCAGATTTTAATAAACCAAATACAGATGCCTTGCTTCATACAGATCAAGAAGTTTATATGTTTAAATCTGGACTGATTTAACCAGCAGTCAAAGGCACCTGTGATTGCCTCATGTTTATCTATAAATTGCCCTAAACAAATATTATTTATTTTATGTCTACTCATGTGGCTGGATCACCTTTGCTATTCCTTGAAAAATCAAACAGATATGCTCATCTTTCTGATAAAATTTAAGACAAACTTTAGCAATTAGTGGTCACTATTATGAGAACAGAGGAATGTAGATTATGAAACTCATGGAGGATGAAAGAAAGAAACATTTCTTACTAAACATAACATAGTTTTTGACTACAAAGTCATCATTTTAATTGAGAGGGTTTTAAAACTGCCGATCACTGAAACAAATGTAAGCAAATTTTGAATATTAACAAATTATGAAAAGTGTTAAGAAACAGGAGAGAAGAGTATTTATTTGACCTGCCCAATAAAAACCAAATGTAACTTATACTTTGGCTTTTCTTAAATACAGGTGATCCATGGGCCAGTCAGCCTTCTTGAGGATCAAACATTAAGTCAGAGGATGAGAAATAACCAAAGGTGAATTAAGCTAGCTAATTCTGACTATGACGCTACCTTCCAGAAAATTTCCCTTATCAAGATTATAGGTCCAGGTCAGCAAGCCAGAATTTCTCCCTCTGAGCAAATGCTTCATACAGTGTATACTCAAAAGGGCCAGCTTCCTGTTCCCTGGCAGCTCAGCAGCAGAAAACTTAAGGGATAAACAAAGAGAAGGATTTTCAAAATCTAACAGTGTATATAGTGTTATATCAACATACACTGAACACTTAGCAATCAAGAGTATCAGAGTTCTTCACAGAGAAAATTATTTACTTTTCACTTCTATCACTCAGAATAAAAATTATTCTAGCAGCTGCCTAGTAACTGGGCTGAATTAGACTGTGTATATTGGCTTTTTGCTCTTTGTCATTAGCATGGACTGGTCCTCTTGGCTTTTGAACTTATTAAATACACATTCAATTACAACTGACTGTATAGAAAAGAACAGCTTTGACTATGTTGCTTAGAATCCTCCGCCCTGACACACCTTGTGTCTCTTGCCTCTCTTTCTGTCACTTGCTAAAAGAACATTGTAAGCTTTTCAAAGTCTTCAATGTGAATTTATAAAATCTAGGACCATAAGCAAAGACCTATGAAATTTTTTTTTTTTTGGTCAACCTATAACATGGTATTTGATCTTTTTTCATTTCTATCTTATTAATATGCTTATCAGAAGTCCAAAAACACAACTCTTTCATGTCTGCCCACTTTGGAAGAAGCCCAGGGGGACATGCATATAAGTCCACTATGGTATTCTAATCCTAAAGATGAGAACTGGAGGAGGAAGAAGGTGAATCTGCTAGCTTTCTCAAAGGTAGCCTAGTGGCCTTACACATGTCAGCCCTCAACCAAAAAATTATCAAGTACTTAATCTGAACAAGTTTGGAATCAAGGCTGGACGAAACTGAGACCCTGGGGAGACAAAATAAAACAGTTTGAGGACAGCAGTATTAAGACAAAGAAGGGTTTTCTTTGGAAAAGTCTACTGGTTCAAGAAAAAGGCAGAAACTGTGTCTTAGCTTCCCAGTAAATTGAAAAGGGGATAAAACTGAAACACAGGCTCCCTGGAGTTCCTGTGACGAGTATAGTAAAAGTGATGAAAGAGGAAAAAGTAAATCTAAGGGTCTGATCAGAGGAGTGATCCAAGAGGCTTTGTGGATGAAGAGACTGACTCACAGGTGTGACATGAGTTAAGGAAATGAGGGTGAAAGGTTGAAACAGGAATACAAATATGTTCCACAGCCTACCCTGCTGAGATAGTTGATATCCTAATAACATCAATGTTTCCGGGTATGCTTAGTGGTAACTAATTTCACATCATTAATCCCACATCAGATTCAACCAAAATGAACCCTTTTCTTCTTGAAAAAAAAAAAAAAGGTCAAAACTAAAGTTCTAAAGTTTAAAATCTAGAATTCAAAGATTTATGTATTTTTAGAGAGCAAAATTTCACAGTAGGTTAAAAAATGTTTCATTCTACACTATTTTTCCAGTTTGCTTTTCTTCATCATATGGAACAAAACTCCAAAATAAAAAGATGAAGTATAAGTGATATGTCCCCCAAATGTAATGTCTCAATTATCTTTCGAAGTTTGTCATCATCCACAGACTGAACATCTATACTATTCTTACTTAGAATATTCTGGTTAGTCAGTAGGATATTTCTGGTCATTGGCTAAGCTCCTGACAACTTAGAATAAAAATGAAGATTGAAATATTTTTACTATCAATGTTTGTTCACACAAATCAACAGTATATCAACAGTCCTTCCTTATATGCTAGGACATGAACACACCAAAACTTGTATTTTCTAGTGGTTTGAGATATATATATATATATATATATATATATATATATATATATATGAAGTTTGGGATAGGTATGTAGCCTTTCAGTATCACAGCTATTTATTCCAGTATTATGACCTGCAATATTTTCAATGAATCAATTACAACCATGATAGGAATTCATGCAAATAAACTTAAATTTTGGCTTATCTCTATTTCCATAAATATTTATGCAGGTTCTCAAAAGTCTTATTTTCGTTAAAATTTTAATGCATTAACTTCATTATCTGTACATTATTTTAAATTTGAAAGAATTTATTCACAAATTTAGAGGAGATCAGGTATAGTATATTTTATCATTCAAAGAATGGCTATATTATCTGACATATTCTAGGGCAGCCAATGATAACTTAGAACTGAAAATAGCTTTGTAACTATAAACAACTTTTACAGAACAAGATTAATAGGGGGGAGAACAACCTTTAACACACATTTCTCCTTGAAGCATGTTTTAAATTGTGGAGGTAAGCCACTCATTTTTCTTAGATAATTTACCTTTGATGGATTGGGCCTTTCTTATGTCAGTAGAAAGGAAAGTACGTATTTTTAAACATTTATTTGAAAATGGGCTGATCTTTCAAATAAGAAGATAAAGCAATATTACTGCAAAGATATACATTTTAGTGGTACTTTCACAAACATGTCGCTTTGTCAAAGTAGTCTCTCCAACTGATAAGCACTGGAATTTGCATGGCCACTATTTGGAAACTTTCTCAATTTTGTTTGACATATATTCATTTTTGCTTTGTAATAAATTTTTCTCTAGAGGTATTTTTTAAAGACAATTTAAGTCAAAACCCACATCCAATACAATGAGAGGAACTGGTATGTGGCCTATGGTGGGCTTGAGTATTAGGTAAGTGATCTACTGACAGGTGCATTTCCACAAGTGAAGAATAACCATGTTACCTCACCACTGACCACCTGGACAGGGTCCATTTCTATTACACTTTCTTTAGGATTAGTAAGGAACACAGTAGGTTTAGGTCCAGCTGCTTCTGTTTAACTCTATGATTTCAGAGCTGCAGCTCCATAGCTAGAGAGTGATGTCATCTGACGTCTGTACAAAATCTATCCTAACTGATTTCAAAAAACATGCATGCTTCCCCTCTATGCCTAATTCCAATGGTAGATTACATTTCAGAGATGTGCTCAAAGACATTGTGAAGTTAAAATAAAGAATCCTACACAACACCCTTCCCCACATCAACAATTACTTTGGTTCCATTTTCTTTGGACATTTTCATGATTCTTAAAGGACTCACGGATACACTAAATACTCATGTAAGGAATGATAACATTTCTGGTTATACCTACGGAGATGGAGGCTGTCTCGATGTCCTGGACCTACGGTTCTTTCCATCCGTAAATTTCTGTTTCTATATTGGATAAATATGTGTATATGAAGATAATATATTGATTTAATTAAAAAAGCCACAAGGCAAAGCGCATATATATATATATATATATATATATATATATATATATATGAGACAAAATGCAGCTTCTACATAAAGGTTCATGGGGAGGCAGGAAACTGTGTACAGTTAACTTAGTCACACCTAAATGCATGGAAACACATACACACATGTACACAGCGCACAGAGAAAAATGACGTGCATTATTGGGTACAATGGCATATGACTTTGCATGCTTCACCATAACAAGCACCAACTACAACAATCCTTCATGAGCATGGCAGCTTACTTATCATCAGGTCACTGTGGAAAATCTTTACAGTGCCTCAAAAACATCTAAGTTGGATCTTTTAATGTTAAATCCAACATGACTGAAACTGGCACCCTCCTCCCTCAGCAGGAGCAGCCAATGGAGATTTACTGACCTGTCTCTGCTTCGACGAGAAGGGAAGGCAGCATTGCAGCCAGCCACTGTGCAGACATGCATCTCTTTTAAGTGAACATTTCTGTAGTGAAGCTTCACACTGTAGGAGCTTTTAAAACTTTTCTTGCACACATAACAAATTTTTGGGTCTGGGCTGGAACACAGATCTCCTTCTGGGGAGAACTTCTGGGGGCTGCCATAATTCAGAGACGATGTAAAACTTTCATGCAAGGCAGCCATGCTGGCCCCCCCACCATTGTACAGTCCGTACTGGCTCATGTAAAACATGTCGTAAGTGGGATCTGTAAATTCTTCCTTCACCTTGATGACATCCTGGTGAGAGGGCTCACTGTGGTTTTCATCAGGCCTCTCACTATTCATCAGGACTTTTTCATTCACCTCACTGTGAAGGTGCTCATCTCCTTCCATGGATTCCTCACCTAGTTTGGGCTCTGAAGACTCAGACTCATTCTCATAGTCCCGTTCAGGCTCCTGGTCCTCAGATGTCATACTGTCAGCTCTTCTTATTTCAGTCCTTGAAATGCACCGGGTCCTGTTATGCTTAGAAAAGTCCTTCACAGACATGCCTGGGCTCATCTCTTCTTGGGAGTGGCAGTGATTGTCATGGCTCATGTCATTAACCAAAGTTCCACCATCATTGGGGTCATCATCTTCATCATCAAACTCATCAGCAGTATCAATAATTTCCTTCTCAATCTTTACAGGCATGCTTGACTTCCTGGGCTTTTTCTTGGGTGCCAAATCGGCACTGGGCTCATGGGTGGCCATCATCACTGCTGGCACTACTGGCTCAGAGGGTGGTTGGGGGTGCTGTTCCATGGTACCACTAGTTGGAATGATAGGACTGGTGGGGAGGGAGGCTGGAGGACTCACCATTTCCCCTGGAGTGAGTAAACTTCTATAAAATGGAGGAACTGGTTGTACAGTTTTTAGTCCAGAAAATACCAGCTGACTAGGGAGAGGATTCTGTAAGACAGGGTCTAGTGGGGGAGTAGTAAAACCCATAGGGGGCCGGCCAGGGCTTGTGAGTGTGAGATTTGATTTTGTACTTGCTATGACAGGGGTGGCAGCTCCTGATGTGGCTCGAATTAAATCTTTGTCTCGATTATTTCTTAGCATAGGCATATGAAGGCGTGGGTTGGGGTTTGCACTGTGCCGATTACGGCTTCGGAGGGAGCTAAAGACCATGTTGCAACCTTCGATGGTGCAGCGGTGTTTAATCTTTAGGTGAACAGCATTATAATGAATTTTGAGGGTACCTTTGTCATAGAATGTCTTCCCACATGCATTACAGAACACTCTTCCTTTCCTAGAGGCTGATCCCATCCTTCTCATCCGGTGAATCCGGAAAGAGCTTTTCGGGTGTTCAGTTTTGGTTAGATCACTGACTGGAGCAGAATTCTGAATGGGAGAGACACATGTTGGCTCGGTTTTGGGCTCCACATTAGTAATGCTGGTCAGGGCATTTCTATTGGGCGTCTGATCATTCTTATAAGGTGTGGGAGATACTTCTGACTCACTGCTCTCATTATACTCATTTTGGGTCGAAAGGCTTGGTTCTCGGAGCCTCAGTCCAGGTTGCTCTAAAAGTAGCCCATTTGGAGGCAACCCTAGAAGTGGAGCTGAGACAGGATTTATATACTGGAATGGAAGCAGAAATGCAAGGCTGTTTGGGATGTTTTCAAAGTGATGAATGCTGGAAGGATTGCTATTCTCTAAGTGAGCAAGGAGGCTGGGACTCCTGGTGCGATTATTGCTCTCAATAAAAGTCCTTATATCTGAGTCTGTCTTTGAAGATGGTACAGCGACAGCCTGCCCTTCTTTCTCCTGAATTGCCATCAGCTCCACAATGGATTTGGTTTCTCCAAACCGCAGAAACTGCTGAAGGGTGATGATTTCTTCTTCTCGAGACATGATGGCCCAGCGGTCTAGCACCTTGCCGGCAGCATCCTACAGGCCACATCAAAAAAAATAACAAAAACAAACATAAAAACTTATTGATTGTGCATAATTATTCAAGCAACTAAAAGTGCTCTGTCTGCTCATGAAACACTGAGAAAGAGCACAAAACAACATGCAAGCACTGTTAATAGAAGTCAACCCACAAAGCAAACTTTTCTGCCATGCAACTGTAGTCATTAGAGTCACAGAGAAACAGATTGAGTTTAATAATGTCAAAGCAAACAAAATGTAGACCACTGGGGCTCTGTGATCTAAAATGCCTTCAGTACTGCTATTTTAACAACAATGATTTATATACTATGTAACTATTTAGCATATATTAGTATGACATGAAGTCTTGCTGTGCACTCAGTATAAATGCAAAAAATGGTACCTGAGTCCTTATTAAATAGTGACACCCAAGGAAGGTATTAAGTACAGTGTGCCAAATTTATTCTTCGACCCAAGTGGACATGACACTGGATTCAATGATGGAAATTCCTTTAAATGGGAGTTATGTGAATTTCTGATTAAAAAAAGATGAGTAAAGTAGCATTACCCCATAGACCCCCATTACTGAACTGCATTTTTTTTCTTTTTTAAATGGCTATATTTTAGTATCATTTAATAGTCAGCAATTTCATTAGATACAATAAGGGAAATATCACTTTTGCAAGATAATTGTATTTTTTCTAAAAACGGCTTGTAATTCTACGATTCAAAGTTTGAGTTAGACTTAAAAGTATTTGACTTTTTTATGATCTTGTTATAAATGACAGTTATAGATATTTGAAAAGTAAACATGTGATGGATTTAGATAGAATAAATGTGTAAAAACTGTCTCTTAGCATCCTCCTCTGATAGCAAAGGGAGTCCACAGAGACTCCACATCAGCAATCATCAGACTATGTGTTGTTAAATATACATTAAAAAGCATTTCGCACTTTCATTTTTGCTAGTAACTATGAGATTTGCCTGGAGGTAGGACTTAAAAATCCTGCAATGTAATGTCAGGAATCCATTTCAGCATGGATCGGGAGAAATCTATTCAAACACTTAAATAATGATCCATAATTTTATAAAGTGCCATTTTTTAGACCCACCAATTCAGGGCTTTTCGCAACTCTCTGAATGACACTTGCTTCAATCCTGATGACCAATCTAGGAAAACAAAACCGTTCTGAAGAACAAAATGAGGCTGGGAGTGTAGCTCAGTGATGTTGTATATGTTTCACTTCCAGAAGGCACCTAGATTCAATCTCCAGCCCCCAAACAAACAAATGACATGACACTTTAATTAATGACAAAGGGAAAATCGTAACTTCCAAGCAGTAAAAATCTAACAAAAGCCCTAAAAGAGTGGTGAGAGTCAAATCCATGGTAGAAAAACGTTGATGGTCTAGTCTTTCTGATGGGATACACTGACAGGGTATGTTGTAACTTTGGTGGCATTCTGGTTAAAAATGTACCTAACCCAATCATGAGAAAATGTCAGGCAAACCAACATTGTGAAGCATTCTATGAAGTATGGACAGCATTCTTTGAAATATAAAGGTCAGGAAAAATTAAGGAATGGTTACAGATAAGATGGGATTCATAAGACATAGTTATGTGATCCTAAGTCAGAAAATGGACATTAGTCAAAAAATCTAAAGACACCAGTTAATAGTTCTATATAAACCTATTGTTTTCTGGTTTTGATAATTGCCTTAAAAAGTAAGTGATATAACACTAGGACAACAGAATGAGGGGTACAAGGAACCTGTTCTATTTTTGCAATGGAAAAAAGGGGTTCCTCAGTCTTTGGATATAAAATTTCCTTTGGATCAAAATCATAATTTAAAACATCCCACATATTTTCAATAAGGCTGAGGCAGGAGGGTCACTGTGATTCAAGGCCAGCCTGAACTCTAGCAAAACCGAGTCTCAAAAAGACAAAAAAATTGACCTTCAGATCAAAAGATCAAATAGTCTCTTAAAACTAGCTGGCCATAACAGTCATATAACGATGTGTACCTAGCAACTCCCCATGATTCTAGAGTCCTCAAATAGTCATTTTTTAAAATGGTCACTAATAGCTATTGATTTTTCTCAAATAACCTGCTGCTGCCCTGTGGAATAGAAAGAACAAAAAGAAGTGTTGGCATTGTAGATACATAGAAAAGTAAATTGTGACTTTATACAGGTTATCTCATTTGAATTGCATCATAGCTTCTAGAGTTCAGTGAATGCTTAACAGATGAGAAATGAGAGGTGAAGAAATAAATATAAGACGGCTTGTTAAGGTTGACAAGATGCTAACTTCAGGATGTTGAATCCTGAAATTCTGAAACTAAGTTCACTGTGGGTCTCAACAAAGCTCGGTGACAGTTTTTCTATGATACCCTTTCCCAGTTGAACACACTGAGCATATGATACTAAGGGGTAGAACTCATCACGAACAAGGCTACAGGGCACAAAATGTCCTCTTCTACACTATTTTTCTTTTCACATCATATCCACACTCTTGTTGGCTCTGTTCTGGAGCCTTTCACTACAGGTTGCTTCTAAGGCTGAAACTCTGAGCGTATGACAGTTCCATCTTCCCCAGGTTCTTCCTATGTAGCATGCACAAATCTGTATGTCAATAATAGTCTTAGAGGCTGGCAGCTTCTGGTATTAAAATGCACCTCAGAGGCCACAGCAATTGACCTCCCCTCCTGAGGCATCTCATTTCCCGTATTCTCTTGCCTCTCTTCTCCCAATACTGTACAGAAATCCCGTACGGTTTCACTTTTTCCACTGGCCTTCCATAATGCCTGGTGCTATTTGTAAAAACAAACCTTTCAGACTCTCGTTTGATCATGAATAGCTGTCCTTGCTAAAATGGAGATTGTGATATTAAGTCACTTAATTTTGGGTAGAATAGGTATAGGTAGGCAAGATTTAGAACCATGCCAGTTTTGCCTAATCATAAAAGATAGGCTTCATTTATAGCAGTAACAGAGGCAGAAATTTATATTTACACAGAACTGTAACATAATGTCTTTTACAAATGTACTTAACAGCACAGTATCTACATATACCTCCAAACTGGACTACAGTTTGGGGTATTTTGTGGATCCATAAAACATAAAGTGACACAAAAGTTATTAGCTCAGCGGCATAAGCACCTGCCTTACAAGCAGGCAGTTGTGAGTTCGATCCCCGGTACTGATAAAAAGGAATAAGACAAAAAAAAATTCATATTTGACCAAGATTACTTAAGAACATCATATTCATAAATAGAGAAACCGAAAAACAAAGATAATCTTTTTATGCGATACAATGTATCTGTAGGCTTCTTGGTGAAAACGGCTATCAATTTTAGAGTATCCATGGATGAAATGTTAGGAATTAAAAATCTTCAAAGGCAATAAGGCCCAGGTTTTTTCTGAAGACCTTTGTGACAGAAATAAGCATGGTTTGGTGTGGTGATTCTCAAACAATGGCTTAAGCGTTACTTTTCTCTCATTGCTGACACAAAATACCCCAACACCAAAAGTTAAGGGAGGAAAGGTTTATTTGGCTCAAAGTGTGCAGAGGTTTCAGTCCATAATCAGCTGATTCCAAAGCAGGGTGGTGTGGCAGAGGGGCAGAAGTCCGTGGTGATGGCAGTTACCAAAAGCAAAAAGAGCAAGAAGAAAAGACTCTTTTTATCCCTTATATTGTACATAGGCCTCATCCATAATCCCAGCATTGGACCATGAATTGCAAATTTTAGAAGCCTGCCCCCATGACTGCAGGAGGCTCTGGGTTGGGGGGGGGGCGGCATCTAAACACAAACCATAACAAGCCTCTGCTGTGAAAGCAAAAATTTCAAGAATGGTCTACATAGTATTCAAGATGAACAGTGTCAGTCCAAGAACTTTCCAAGTAATATTCTGAGTAACCATGTGGAAACCTTTAAGACAACTGATACTGATGCAATAATTGAATGCAGATTTTTAAAGAATTTCATTGCATTTAACTTTAGTATTAACTCAGACTCATTAAGGGAAAAAACTAGCTATCCTCCCTTATAATAGTGTGACCATTATGGATAGTCAAATAAACTTCACCAAAAGAAACAGCAGTTATAAAGAAAATTAGATATTATGAAATCAATATTATTAAAACAAAAATCCAGTCTACTCTTAGACCAGTATGAAGACCTGACTACTGAACAACCCATACTGCGACACTGATTTTTTGTGCACGAGTAAGTTAATATTAGAATATATAACTAACTGGACTCTTATTCTTTCTAGGAAAATTTGTAGTTGGTAAGTCAATTCCTTGAGACTTTCCCATCTGTAACCAGGATTCATTGAACTAACAACCCATTAGTTTGGGAAATGCCAGTTATAAAAATGAGGACAGTATGACTTACCCCATTAAATTAAATGCAAGGTATTATTATAAGCATTGGTGTCCTGTGAAAATACTGGATATGCTGATAATTAAAAGTTGCATAACACCAAATAATTCAGATTATAAACAAGTTTTACTGGTTCAAAAAAGTATAAAGCACTTAAAATATTTACATCTACGCATATTATATGAACAGACTTTCTTTTATTATTTTACTCAAACTGGTAGGCTACTCAGTTGTTACATGGCTCTACAGAGTGAATTTTTCCTGCCTGGGGCTAGCAATCAGACCAAAGGCCTTATGCATACCAAGTAAGTGGTCTATCACTATGTCTTTGATTTATTTCACACCTAGATTTGCACAGTATACTTTGCCAAATTATTTTATCACAACCCTGCCGGCAATTTATTTTTATAACCAGTGGCTCACAGAAATTTGTTTTTCTTCCTGGATCAATTCAAACATCCAGGTAAGGGTAACAGTTTTTGGTATAGAAATCACCAAATTCCATGTCCACCTAAGTACTCTACCAAGTAAAATTTCACAGTAATTGCTGAGATAAAAAACTAGTAAGAAAATGCTATGCAAAACTGAAATTTTATCAGGTTTTCTAGATGGCTATGTCCTAACGACAGTT